GGGGACTGTGCCATGCATGGCTTGTTTTAATTAATGCTGTTCCAGAGCAATATTTCTCAATATGGACAAGTACTCGTTTGATGATCAGATACAAGATGTCAATCATTTTAATGTTGAAAAATCATCAAAATCAAGCATCATCTTCTGTTCCAACTATATTACTATAAACAAAACTATAATATATCTTAAATTTGATAACGAACAGGGACTGTGCCATGTATGGCTTGTTGCTTGTGTATTGTATGTGTTCGCTATTCATCAGTTTGACTATTTTCAGATTAACTTTGTCAGTTGATCTAATTCAATCATCTTATTTTAGGATCAGGATTATGTTTTAAAAGGAAGAGAAGCGATGGAAGCAATGGAAATGATGTTAAAAACAACTGAGGGTTGGAAAATGGAAAAAGACAACGGTGCTGGAGTAACGGTGCAAGTAAAAGAGTTTGAAAAAATTGGAAAAATTTACAAAATGGAGGTGAGTGTTTGACTTGATCAAGTTTGCCATTGATGAGATTTCAAAATTCATAGTACATTGAAATTCACGCTGTTTGATGTTTTTAAATCTTTCGTAAATTTCAATCACCATCATTTTCCTGTCAAAATACAAATGGTCTATTAAACAAAAAAAATGTTTTGCTTCCTGTTCTAATAAAAATTGACACAGTTATATAGTTTTTATTTTGTATTAAGGTCGTATTAAAATCACAAGATATACCCGGTACTGTAAACCACTTTATATTTCAAAAGACAAATTTTTGCTAATTTCACGAGTGAAAATCACTCAGGTCTTACAACATGTAGTCTGAGTCTTAACCAAAATTATTTTGTACATCCTGAAATTAAATAAAATTTCTATCAGTGAAAATTAAATTGTTTACTGTATGTTCTACATTTAACATTTTTAAACGCTTTTGAATACATATATTAAAGGTTGATACAGATCAACAAAACATCTTCTGAATCAGAAAACAAACATTATCAAATTCTGTTGTATGTGGCGCACTTACCAGTATCAAAATTGATGAAAATAGAACAAGGTTTCAAACGAGAAGCAAAACATTTTTTGAGTCTTATTATGTATTTTTAATAATTTTTTGAGTCATATTTCTCATTAGCTGGCTGCAGGACTTGAATGATAATCAAATATTTAGTGCCACTTATGTTGCCTCAAATGTTTTAATTTTTTAATATAAAAATAATTAATACATTTTTAATATGGATCTTGTAGGGTCCTGTTGATATCGATGGTAAGTGGTTATTTGAAGAATTATTTTATAAAATCGAAGGTTCACCTAAGTGGAATCCGACAATAGCGAAGGCTAAGATTCTACACACCGTGGATGACTACACTGATATTTCTTATAATGTAGCCAAGGAATCAGCGGGTGGTATTGTCGCTAGCAGGTAAGCCAAGATTAACATTCATAGGGTATATTGATAAAGGTCGGTACCTCATATGTAAATTGCAAAAATGCACTGTGTCAGCGCTTGCACTTACAAACAAAAAAAAGTCAGGAGAGACAACAGTGACACTGTCCAGACAGTGTCCAGAACTGTCGCCTGGCACAAAAACAATTTGAAAAAAAAAATCTATAATCTATGTAGTAGTAAAAAAAAATGGGGGCTTACCAACATTTTTTCAAAGACTAGGTCGGTATGTATATTATGCAGTTGATTTAAGGTAACAAAGATGATCTCAGATGGCATGTCACTTGTCTGATGTAAACACTTGGTATATGATGGATGCCACATGTAGCTTAATGCGATCACTCTTTTCGAATCACCTGACATGAATTTATGTACACCATGTTTCTCACCGATTTGACTACCAAGTATGTATGTAATGTCTTTGTTGATATGTTTGTTTGGTTTGTATTCTTGAATTTGTAAATTTTCATTTTGACTATTGAGTTGGATATAGTATTTATTTATACCTTAAACCTAATCTTGTAAGCGATAAAGGTTAAAAATAATTATTTGGAATTGGTTTGGAAGAAAAGTCACAATACTTTCACTATGTTTTATTGACAGGGATTTTGTTACCGTTCGTCACTGGCAGCTTACCAATGGTATGTATATATCTAGTGGACAGGCGGTAACATATGCAGATATGCCACCTACAAAGGATGTTGTCAGGTATACAGTTTTCTTTAGTTCACTATTAGGAAAACGAACTACTGTCTTCTACCATAAATACTGTAAAACCATTTATTTTCACTGACATTTAATTTCACTATTTTGATGTTTTGGGCATATTCACTCCGTTTAAATTTCAGGAATTTGTCAAGTAAACTGAGTTTTATTGATATTTTACATGTTCACGTAGATTTATTTTATCATTGAAAATAGTGAAATTAAAACCCAGTGAATAATTAATGCATTTACAGCAGTTATACTCTGAATTCTGAGATGATTTCAAAATCAGCAATTTGTCATTCTTCTGTCCTTTTCTAATCCGCAGAGGTGAGAATGGTCCGGGGGGCTGGGCAATACAGTTAATGCCAGGAAAGCAACGCTGCAAGCTGATCTGGATACTCAATACGGATTTAAAATTTCAGGTAAAATAATATACCATTATAAAAATGTTTTCCAGTCAAAAATCTTGTGTAACGTTTTAAAGAGGGGGGGGGGGCAAGGGGGGTAGCTGGTAGTTTTATGGGAAATAAAAAGGGCTTTTTACAATTTACAAGGAAAAAAGACATTTTTACAGTGAAAATTGAATGTTTACAGTTTACAGAGAAAATAAAAGTTATTTTATATTTTACGGAAAATTAAGAAAGAAAACCTAGAAAATTCTTGTACGTACCAAGAAAAATTACACATTTTTACAGTGTACGATAAAAATTTTTGATCACGTTGTACCTTATTATTTATTTTTTCAATTTACGTTGTACGAACAAAAAAATATTGCAATTACGTTGAACGAAAATAACCCTTGCCCCCCCCTCTTTAAACACAAGGTCATCTTTTATCTTCTTTCACAAAAAAAATCTGCTTTATTTTTTGCCGAGCGTTTCACAAATTTTGATTGTGGGCTAGGAATAAATTACATCCATTTGTTCCAAATCATAGAAAAATACATAAAAATAAACGTGTATAACGTTTTCCTGATTTGAAAAAAATGATCAAGGCCTGAAGCCAATTGAAAATAAGTTTATTTTGTCTGAAACTAAAAAAAGAAAACATGAGAATTGCATCAAAATAAACTTTAATTTTAAAACATAATAGCATGTAGATAATGAAAAATTTTATTTTTGGTCCAAAATAATGCATGAAAATGTGTATAATGTTTCACTTAAATGTATCTGCAATGTTGGCAATAAAAATTTAATTCATTTCGTACAAAATGCAAAAAGCGAAATATACATGAAAATGTGCAATGTGTTGCATCAAAGTTATGGCTTTGAAAAGATGAAAGGCTTGTGATATATGATGGCATTTCCTTGTCAATTGTTGGTTTCAGGGATGGATGCCACAGTACATAATAGACCAGGCTTTGACGGGAGTACTCGTGGATATACATAAATATGTCACAAAGCGTGTGGAAGTCATTAAAAATATACAAAAGACAATATGAGACGATAAAACTTCAAACATGAAAGAGGCTGAAATATTGAGTACAGATGTGTATACCCAGGGAGTGTGGGTAGCTGTAAACTCCAGTCACAATGTAGCCAAGAAACTTTGATGGATTTTGTTACAACTGACTTCAGACTGTGTGATGTTTCAAGTAATTTTCCATCATCTTTTGCATACAAAAACATTTTTATGTACGGTACTCACCATGTAGGTAGTGAACTGGATAGGCTACGTATAAGTGTGACTTCAGACTGTGTGATGTTTCAAGTAATTTTCCATCATCTTTTGCATACAAAAACATTTATATGTAGTGAACTGGATAGGCTACGTACAACATGTATAAGTGTGACTTCAGACTGTGGGATGTTTCAAGTAATTTTCCATCATCTTTTGCATACAAAAACATTTATATGTAGTGAACTGGATAGGCTACGTATAAGTGTGACCGCCTGACAGCTGTCCAATCATGACGAGTCACAAAATATTTGCTTTTCTACTAAATCACTGTATAGAATAGAAAATGTTTGGGGGGGGGCGATATCGGCACACATTTTTGTAAACCCACATGTAAATAACAATTGTTTATTGTAGTTGATAATACTGATACTACATGTAAATATCAAATTAATATTCAAATTATTTTCGTAACCAGGGTTGGATTGGTATTAAATTATAGTTTCTATTGGGTTTGTTCTAATGGCACTGCTAAGTTGAAATGTGGAAATTTGAAATGGTTTTATTTCTTGATAATTTGATGAGAAAGGCTCCATCAAATGAAGGAAAAAGAGGAAATAAAGAAAAGATTGTTTCCCTGCAACTATGACTTCACTCTGGCGGCCATTTTGAATTGGGAAATTCTCACAATGGAGATTCACAATTTAAAAAAACTTTGGGTACCCAAAAGCTTTAGCAACCCACAGGATATAACTTAATAATATTTCAGGAAATGTGTTCGCCTTCATGCTTCACATATTGTAAATTTCATAACTGTGCCACATTTCTTTCAAAATAAAAATGCATGTCAAAATTTTAAATATAATCCCGATATTGTGAAGTTGCATTTGGTATGTTTGTGGGTGGCCATTTTGAACGACTTATCTGTGCATTTGCAATTCTCTAAGAGACAGTAGATAATTGAAACATGAACACTACAGACATAATCTCCTTGCTTGGTAGGTCAACGGTGTTTTTAATTACTGTGAACTAAAATGACATGTTCACTCTACTCATCCCATTTCACATGAAATTGAGAGGAACATCTCTGATGGTTAGTGTTGATATATAAATACTTGCAGTACAGGTAAGTGCACATCATTGTGGAGCATGTCAGTAACCCTATTATGCAGAAACAATTCATCTGTTTTTGACTTGAACATTTTGAAATTAAAGTGACTTGTAATGCATCTTATTGAAACATTGTAGGCACACGTCCCTGTCGTATGTTATTGAACTTTCAATGGAATCTTGTTTTTTTCTTGAACATGCATACTTTCACATACAGGGAGGGAAGGGGAATTGAATGTTAAATGTGAAGTGATTATGTTTTTAATGTACACATGTTTTAAATATCTATGTCCCTAAGATATGCAAGTTTTTCTTGAAAACATTTACTGTTTATATTTTGTATTTGTTCATTTATTCGGGGAGGGAGGGAGGGAGGGGGGCAAGTTTAAGTATATTTTATAAATATATGAACATTTACAGTACAATTTACTGGTACTAAATAAACAATGCTTGAGAATAATTTTTTAAATGATGCGTGATACAGTAAATATGAGGTAACTACTGTAAAATACTTTATTTTCGCTGACGGAGTGATTCAGTGAAATAAATTCCAGCGAATATACCTTTTTCCTATTTTTTACATTCAAGTCGTCAAAAATCAGTGAAAATAAATTCCATACAAAACTCTCAAAAAGTCTTTTCAGCGAAAATTAATTCCAGCTAAAATAATTGGATTGGGGGATGGCTAAATTGGCATGATGCAAGACTGAATTCAAACATTTTTTCGTATGTCATATCAACGAAAGGAAAATTACTTTTATTCCCTCTTAGTTTAATCTCACTATAAAGTCATATTTGCTAAATGTGTGTAAATTCATAAATATGGCTATCAAGTGACAGACTTTGTATAGGCAAGCACTAACATCAAAACAGTAAAAGTATTATGCAGTGGATATTTAATCAAAGTTATTACAAACAATACAAATCTATGATAAATGGAAGACTAAATCTATAATATGGTCCTGAGTATTTTAGACTAGAATCTAGAATTCTGAGATTTATAAACTGCTTCACAACAGCCGAGATGGTGAAGGTGAACTTTTTTTCATACCTGTGGTTTTTCTGCCCAGCTACCGTGATAGATCAAATTTAAAAATGTCTTGTCTCAACTTTTGTGGGGTAGCGTATAATTTAAAATACATTATATTCGCTTGGAATTAATTTTTGCTGAAAAATTGATTCAGTGAAAATAAAATCCAACAATTGTAGCTTTTTTTTACATTCAACTCGTCAGAAATCAGTGAAAATAAATTCCATACAAAATGCAAGTCTTTTCAGCAAAAATTAATTCCAGCTATTTATTATTTCACAGTATATATATATATAATTGCATAGTATTTCTCTACCTCTACACTAACGATATTGATAACAAAGTTGCCAAAATTAAAATGTTACATTCGTCATGCAGCATGTGTTTGAATAGCATGTAAACGATGCATTTTTATACATGCATACATTGCTACATCTTTCGGCTGAGTGGGGTGGAAAAAATACTCTGGCGGACGAGAATGACATTGCTTTGGGTTCATATCAAACATGCTGCAGTGTCGCGATTGTAGCGCTTCAAACCCTATCATTTTCAACCAGACTTTGTTGCAATACATTTTTAAGTACATTTCTATAATCATTTACATAATTTTGGAACAAATGGTTATAATTTCCCATTTGTTACTGATCTTAATTAAAATTTTGTGAAAGCTCACAAAACAGTTGGCCACTGAATCACAGTCAGCTGGCGCACACGTGATAATAAAATAAATACGATATTTACTATATGGGGGCTGCCATCTTGAATGACGCATAAAACTAAATAAGAGACAAGTTGTGAAATGCGTTTTTCAGATTCCTACAAATCAGGACAAAAATACCAATCTTTCACAAAAATACGATCCATTGGGGTTATATTAACAAAATTCGGCCTTATTCGTTCGTTTTTGTGTGGAAAAATCCCTT